TTCCTTTTTGTCTTTTTTCGTGGCCGGCAATGGGATCGCAACCCTCGGTGTTGCTCCCGCCCCTCTCTCAGCCAGTGAGCGGCCGGTCTACATGTGGGATCCGAACCCTTGGCCGGAGTGCCACCGCGCTTCCCAAGCGGCGCACTATAGCAGTGTGCCACTGGGCCGGCCCTCATGTAAGTTTTTGATGACTACAAGAATCTTCACATGTGAGTTGTGCTGCAGATTATGTAGAAGGGGGTGTGGGGACTGAGGGTTCATAGTATAAAAGCAGATGCAGCAGATGACACAGAAAGAGTGAAGGTTGTGCCAAGATATCTTGGAAAAGTTAAAGGCAGGAGGAACGAGAGGGTTATTCTGATTCTTATAATTATGTTCTGGTGGCTTTGTAAGGCGGAAGGGAGGGAGAGAAAGGGGCTGAGACGTCTGTAGGAAAGGCTGTGGATCCAGGATGAAGAAAAGAGAGGAAGGTAAGACCATGAGGCAGGATTGAGAGCCTAAGTCAAGAGATCATGAATTGTTTAGCAATACATGGAACATTCAGATGGAGAAACAGAAGCAACCCCTAATTCCATATACGATCTGTAATATCTGCAACAAAGCAAAGTACATTTGCATGCGCCTCAGTGAAGATGCAAAAGGGAAAAAAGGCTGATGAGTAGGAATCAAGAGCACAACAGACACCATTGCAGACTTAAGGTGTGTGAAATACCATTGATGTTATCAGTGTTCTGACTTAACAGTCTTATTTTAATGAGCGCAACAAAATTTGTACAGTGTAAGGACTTTCTTAGGTGTACTCTCACACTTGGTCCCCTCGCCCTTCAGATCAAGAAGGAGCAACCCCTCCAGGCAAACTCTCCTTGTCCAAGGGCTCTGTTACTAGCACTCCATGATAAAGCTTCTTCACCCTGTTTACTCAGCTCCAGCTCTAGGAAGAGACTGTTCCCTTTGGATTTGCTGCTCTTGAAGACTCTTGGATTTGAATCTTATCTTGTTCTCCACCCACCAGTGTGGAGTTGCTCCTGGCTTCCTGGAGCCACCTTGCCCTGCCCTCAGACATCAGTTTACCTTTGCCTCATATGCCTAACTCCAGGTCAGCTATCATCTTCCTCACTCAAAGTCCTCAATGCACGTCTCTGCTCTGGAATCCTCTTTATAGATGAGGAGATCAGACACCTTGCCCCTCCTTGTACCCAAGATTTTAAAGTCAGCTGTGAATTCTTCTATCGATTCTTGCTTTAGGGAACCCAAATCCATGACAGGGTAGAGGAAGGTGAGAAATTACTATGTTTAATTATATGATGATAATAATAATAATAATAGCTTATATTTAGTGAAGACCAAAGACCAAATGTTCTAAACATTTTATATACTTTCAGTGCTGTTACTATCTTTCTGCTGATAAAGAAACAAGGGTACATGGTCAGGAAGTGATGGAGCCAGATTCTGAACCCAAATGAAGGCGCTTCAGAACCCATAACCATATGGTCTTCTCTAGACATGAGCCTTTAGAGGGAAGAATCTGCAATTTATTTCACTTTGTATTCCTATCATCTTGTAGCGTGGGTAATGTGTAAAGGGCACATACAGAATATTCGTGGGATGAATTCTGGATGAGTAAGGAGATAGGAGCTTTGCTAGTCAATGAAAGTTGAACTTTCAAATCCATAGAATGTATATTTGGCGGGGCGGGGGAAGAGCTTATTCACCCTCTAAGTCTGAAGGTCATGGATTCTAAAACTATTTTAATGTGTCTTTGCTGAAGAAATTCTTAATATGGCAAGTAAACAGAATGATAATGCTGTGGAAACAGCAATTGATTTTTATACTGCTTCTACAGAGTCATCATTTGCAGACAATCTGACGCGTCTATCGATCTGAGCCAGAGTTGAGTGAGCTGGACATAAAATTCCCTAACTCAATACCAAAAGTCAGTCAGACCTTGAAAGAATATTTCTTTCTTTTTTTTCTAACATTAGGGACAATTAGGAATTTCATGCCTAGACTGGGAGCAGAGAGATTACTTTATTAATACTAAACACATTAATAAAAAAGGAAAACTCTATAAAAGAGGACTTTAAGATTCTGCCAGAAACCTTTTCTACTGCACTAGAAAGATTTGCTGAGTTCAGCAATCTTTAGGAAAATATAATTGTGAAAATAGTTATGTTCACAGCTCAGAGTTTGAATTGTTCTTTTTGTTGGAAGATTCTAACCTATCCTATTTCAACCTGTTCTAAAGTTGCCAAGTGTTTCATTGTTAAGCTTTTCCCTTTCCCCCAAGCCAAATTGTTAAGCTTTCAAACAAATCTGGCTCACTGTCATAAATTTCATCTGTAATTATTTATGTAAAAGCTATTGGACATCTTATCTTAGCATTTAATTTAATACCAACATGAATGTTTTACACTACCCTTATATACAAAAACATTTATAAATATGTAAGAGAAATACTTTTAGGAAGTTTTATTGAGTTATAATTTACAACCATCAAAGATCATCTATTTTAAGTGTACAGTTTTATGAGTATTGACAAATGTGTACACTCATGCAGCCACCACCACAATCAAGAGACAGAACATTTCCATCATTCTCATGCTTTCTTGCAGTCAGTCTTCCCATTCCTGGTGTCAGACAACCTCTGATCTGCTTTTTATCAATGTAGTTTTGGCTTTTCTAGCTTTTTATATGGAATCATACCATACAAAATCACTCAGTAGTAGTCTTTAGTATCTCACTTATTTTGGTCTTTGAAAAATACTCTTAAGCAAATGAAATGACATGCCACAGGTTGGAAGAAAAATATTTGCAAAATATATATCTGAAAGGACTTGCATACATATCATATAAAGTCTTACATTTAATAAAAAGAAAAATAACCCAATTTTTAAGATAGGCAAAAGATTTGAACAGATAATTTACCAAAGAAGATATACAAATGGCAAATATACGTGAAAAGATGCCCAACATCTTTAGTCATTAGGGAAATGTAGATTAAAACTACAATGAGATACCTCTGCACACCTACCTGAGTGGCTAAAAATAAAAACACTGACAATACCAAGTGACGGTAAGGACGTGGAGCAACTGGAACTCTCATACATAATGTGGGAAAATTCTTTGGAAAATATTTGACGTTTTCTAAAAAAGTTAAAAATGTACTTACCATATGTCTCAGCATCTCACCCTTTAGTATTTACCCAAAAGAATTGAAAACATATGTTGATACAAAGACCTAATCACAAATGTTTGTAGCAGCTTTGTTTACAATACTCCCAAACTGGAAACAACTCAAGTGTTTATCAACTGATGAATAGATAGGCAAACTATGGAATAGCCATACAGTGAAATACAACTCAGTAATAAAAAGGAACCAACTGATGATAAACACTACAGCATGGATGAATTGCAAAAGCATCATATTAAGTTAGAGAACCAGATACAAAAGATTGCATAGGAGAAATTTGGAAGGTTTAAAAAAATCAAATAAAAGCAATGAATATATGCATCTCATAGATAAGGGATGAGGTATTCTATGCTATGTTACATAGTCACCCTTGTCCTCAAAGAGGCTACATAGCTACATAGCTACATGAATTATTAACCACTAAAATGGTAGTTACCTAGAGATTTTTCTTAGAATGGAGCTTTTATAGAGCTGTTCCTCAAATTCAGTTTTATTTTTCTTATAGTGGCGTGTGTGCCCATGGAAAGTTTGAGTGCATCAATGATTGATTTTACAATCAAAATGTAGAACATTTTCATCACCCCAAAGTGGTTTCTATAGTCCTACCACATTTTGTCTATCCACTCATTCATCTGTTGATGGACACTTGGGTTGCTTGCTTCTACCTTTGGCTATTGTAAATAAAGCTGCTATGAACATGGTTGTACAAATATCTCTTTGAGTCCCTGCTTTCAATTTTTTTAGGTATGTACCCAGAAATGAAATTGCGGGACCATATATTAATTCTATGTTTAATTTTTTGAGGAAACAACACACTGTTTTTTATAGCAGCTGTATCATTTCATTACCACCAACAGTGTAAAGGGTTCCATTTCTCTACATCCTTGTCAACACTTATTATTACCTTTTTTAATAATAGTCATTTTAATGGGTATTATTGTAATTTTTGATTTGCATTTCCCTAATGATTAGTGATGTTGAGTATCTCTTCATATACTTTTTGACCATTTGTATAGCTTTTTTGGAGAAATGTCTATTCAGGCTTTTTGCCTATTTTTTAAAATCAGGTTGTTTGTTTTTTGTTGTTGAGTTATGGAGATTCTTTGCATATTCTAGATACTCATTATCATATATAATTGCAAATATTTTCTCCCATTCTGTGAATTGCTTTTTCACTTTATTGATAGTGTCGTTTGATGCACAAAAGTTCTTAATTTTGATGTAGTTCAATTGATTGTTTGATTGCGTGTGCTTTTTTCTTTTGTAGCCTGTGTTTTTGGTGTCATACCCAAGAAATCACTGCCAAATCCAAGATCATGAATCTTTCTTCGTATGTTTTCCTCTAAGAGTTTTATAGCTTAACTCTTAGATTAAGGTCTGAACAATTTTGAGTTTAGTTTTGTATATGTCAAAAGGAAAGGGCCCAGCTTCTTTTGCATGTAGCTATCCACTTTTCCCAGCACCATTCCTAGAAAGGTGGCTACTTCTTAAGCAAAGATTGTTTTAGTAGATGTTTCCAAAGCTTCTTGTTACTGTTTCAAAGTTCAAACAGATAATGATTAAGTTGTGCATCACTCAAGGTAGATTTTAATCTCTTACAAGTTGAAGAGTACTGAAGATCTAAGATCATTTACATCCCTCAGGAAGAAAAAAGTAACACAGGCTTCTAGGACAAAGAAGAAAGAACTGAAAAGTTACAGAATATTCCATGGGACAAAGTACACCTGCCTGGTTTGCTGTCCTCCAAACTCCCACACTCTGTTGGAGTGGCCTCCCTCTTATCTGACGACCTAGGAGGTAGGTGAGGAAAATGTCCTCACATTTTCTTTGGAGTTTGGTTACTTTTTTGACATTTGCTGAATTGGATGGTGAAGGTGGAGGACTTGAGCTGCAGCAACAAAAAAGAAACATGGATTTCCAACAGTAAGTAGACATATTGAGGATTTCTGCTGATGGACTGGGGTAGTTCCTTAGCAGTTTTCACCAATAGCCAGATAAGCAAAGGTGTAATTTTTCTTGAGGAAAACAATAATGTTAAAAAGCAAACAGGGAAAAGCATTTGGACTGATGTCTAGAATTACTCTCTGATAAACATATTATTCATTCATCATTTTGAAAATAATTCAAGCATGCAATTACTAGGAGACATCTCTAAGAAATTTGCAGAGACAGAAATGGCAGATGTGCAGGGAGAGTTTGGTTAAGTCTATGGTTATTCAGTAAAAAACTGTTGTTTAGATTTAAAAATTATACACACATATAACACATTCTCTGGTTTGAATTATACAGGCCTCGGATGGCTACAGAGAGGGGAAATTTAGTGTTTCTTACGGGGTCTGCTCAAGACATTGAATTTAGAACTGGATCCCTGGGAAAAATTAAATTAAATGATGAAGACCTCAGCGAATGTTTACATCAGGTAATGCACTGGAAATGTATTGAAGTCATTTTGGATATCCATGTATGGTGACTTAATTGAATAGATCTATATCAATCTGTGCATTGGATCTTTAGCACAGGGAACATAAACGGACCTAAGACTGTGTTCTCGTAAAGAACAATGACCTAGGGTTGATGGTGGACAGAAGGAGTAATGCTAGCAGAACGTGGTTCATTGTGCAAGGAGACACACCCTAGTGCAGAGAATGTATGGAAACTAGTACTGGAATTCCCCCAAAAAGGAGGCAAGGAAGAAGGGGGGTCAGAGAAAGGTGTAGATGGGACCATTTTGCTTCTCCCACAGAACAGAATTGGCCAGTTATTCTCCTGCCTTAGTGAATGTTTTCAGTGCTCGGTATTTACTACATCACGCTGGTATATCAGTCATAATGTTAGAAGCTAGCATTACTCAGAGCTTACAATGGGCCATCCACTCTGCTTAGCATGTTATGTGCTTTATCTCACTCGAGGGCACAGCTACGCTATGAAGTGGGTTTTATTATTACCCTTCTTATAAAGGAGTTAAAGAAATCTTGAAGCAGCTACACATTTTACCCAAGGACACAAAATACATGGCTGAGCCAAGATTTAAAACCCAGACAGTCTGATTCCAAGCCAATCTTCTTAATAAGCACCCTAAACTGTTATTACGGGGGAAAATGCAAATAGAAAATACATTGATATATTGTTACTGAAAAGGGTAAGTGGAATTATGTCATGGCCCACGGCTATTTCAGTCTGATGTTTATTATACATGGCATTGTTTGGGCTTTTATAATTACAGGCAAGTTCTTAGTACTTAAAATAGAATATTACTCATGTTTTTTATTATATATTTATAAGCTATATACGATTTTTTTCATGAGTGTTCTTCTCCTTCTTTTTTTAAAAATTAGATCCAGAATAACAAAGATGATATTATAGATTTAAAAAGGAATACAACTGGTCTGTCTCAAAATATATCTAATCAGATCTATCAGCTTAATTCCAAGGTAAGTCTGACATCCATATCGTTAGAGCAAACGGGTTCTCCTTAAATCAACTCTGTAAGTAACCATTTTGCAAGAGATGTACCAACTTTGTTTCCTCTTTAGATATATAGCTTCATCATTGTTTACTTTTTGGTTAAATGACACAGCTCTAATGGAGGATGTAGAAGTGGCGATGGGCAGAAGGTAGGGGACGCTGTGGCAAGGGTATGCTTAAGGCATAAGTAGGCCTTGCTCAAGATCTACCAGCAACCTTCTTATTGGTGAAGTGCATGCATCATTGTCACTTATGAAAATCCCGTAGTCACTGTGTGCAGAGAAGAAATGAATCAACTTATCAGTGGGTTGCAGTTCTTTAAAAAAAGACCTTTGTAAAAAAAAAATCTATGTGATGGAAGGGAACAGGAAGGAAGGGAAGCCTGGAGGGAGAGGAAAGAGGAGGGAAAAGGCAATTAAAACATGAACAAACAGAGAAAGTGAGTCCCTAGTAGAGGGTATTAGGAAAATATGTCAAGGTTATAATCCTATGTGAAATGCCTTTGAACCAGCTAATTGATGCTTTTTCTTCCCTGCTGCTAGCTTGTGGATCTTGACAAAAAATTTCAAAGCTTACAGCAGGTAAGTCCCATAACTACTAGATACCTAACATCTTTCACTGAAAATATACTGGAATAGTTGATAGAGTGAGTACTCTTATTTTAAAGGTAGATGGATGATCAATATCAAGGATTTGTTTTTTCCCACAACCGAATTTTCATTCCAGCTTATACTTTCCAGGATGGAGAAGAGGAATCTGAGTCTAAGAGAGATGAAGTGACCAGCCCAAAGTCACTGAGCATGTGAGGTCTTCTGACTCTTGAGTTTGTAGCCCATGATTTCCTCCCCTTACTGTCATCCTTTAACAGGGTTACAGTAGGCTTAAGGGCACTATTCTTGCTCAACAGTGACCACCCAACTTGCTGATTCTGGCATCAAGGACTGAGTTTTGAAAAGATATATATCCTCTCTAACATTAAGTTCAGAAGTCTGGGATGTACCATGAAATATTCCAAATTCCCTTAGAACTACATTTGTTGCTAATCACATTTGAACAATGTCTTAGAGCAAATGTTCTATAACTTTACTACATGCTTGTAAACTGGTCTATGTAATTTTAGGCTTCTTACCTGTTTCGTAGGTAACTGGCCTCTTTAAGACTTTCACCGAAATCATAACGTTTGACCCAGAGAAATACACAGAATCTCCCCTGACTTAAAAGTTTGAATAAAAATCTGAGGACTCCAGGTTAAGAGTCTCTGCTGTAATGTTCTTGATATGTTTTGAATATGCTCCAAGCATTGTCTTCTACTTTGGGTATTTTAAGTTTGGTAAACAAATTCACTATTCCTTTTCTCCGCTTTGATAATATATTGACCCTTCAGCCTTCCTCTTCTTAAGGGAGTAGCTGAGTGAAAGAAAACGAGCAAGGAGTAGTGCTGTGGAACATGACCCAGAACTAGAGTTTTCTGTCTCCTAGAGTGCTTCGTTTTTCTTACCCAAGGTCATCAACTGGAGGAAATGGTCAGATGAGCTCAGAGAGCCCTCCCTGCCTATCCCTCAGGAAGAGTTTCAATGATTTTTGAACGTGAATTCCTTTATGCCTTTGGAGAGGGCACGTGCTCTTTGGCCACCACAGTCCCTTCCACTCCCTATTGTTTCCTCCTGACTGCGATCTGATTTCATTTCCTGCTGGGCCTCCATAGGCTTTTGAGTTTTTAAACCCCAGACAGTGTGGCTTTTGTACACCAGGAAAACTTCTAATGAGTTTGTGTTAATGTTCCTAATGGTGTCTTTTGATGGGCAGAGCTTATTGTGGTACAGACACAAAGACAGACAAATAGAAGAATGAAAGAAGAGTCCATGAAGAGACCCCCCACATGTATGGTCTGATTCGTAGCAAAGGTGGAGAAAGAACGGGCTTTGCAGTAAATGATATCAAGTCAGTCGACTGTTCTCTGACTCTCAATTTTATCTATAAAATTAAGGAAACAGACTTGATTTTCTCTGTGAGTCACTGTGTGTGTGTATATATATGGGTCAAACTATTTATTGCATATATAAATAGGGGACAAACTATTCACTATAGTTGTATACAGTTATATAATGAATAGTTTGCCCCCATTTATATATATATATATATATATATATATATATATATATATATAATAGTTTGCTCCATGCACATACACACGCATTACATAACTATATGAATAATTTGCCCCCATTTTGACTTTTTAAAACAGAGAATTAGACCATAAGTGAAATTAATAAAATAGCTTTCATTGCATAGTCACTTGTCCTCTCCAAAGAAATTTTGTCTGCCCCCAAAGGCATTACAAATCTTACAAGATTGGAATTGAGAGCTGACATAGGGTAAGAGTCCCCAGGCTGTGTAGACAAAGGTAGGTCTGTTTAAGACTCTGGTCTAAAAGCAGTCAGGTGAGCACGAGGGTGGAGGTTACGGCTTAGCTAGCCACATTTCAAACAAATGGACTTAAAAAGAATTCAGTCATCTTAACCCATGGGAAGTGAGGCGGCAGCAAAAGATGATCATATTTCAAAGGCTTATTGGAAGTACCAAAAATAAGAATAATAGGCAAAAGAGTTAGAATCTCTATGTAATGTTCTTAGTGCAATAGGAATGTTTGTAATTATTCCCACACCTGATACCTTTACTCATGTCCACTGACGTATATTTCTCAGGTGAACAGTACTTTCCCAAAGAGTAGAATGAGAATCTTCTTCGCTCAGACATCATCCTATCCATGGTTAAAAGCATGTAAAGAGTTAAAGAATATCACATAGGACTGATAATAAGAACAGCTTTTGCTTTTTTATAAGAGAGTTGATTTGAAGAAGAACGTAGCAGTTGATTCTAAGTCTGGAGGAAGACCTGTATTGACAGAGTGAAATGTAATTCTGCAAACGTACCTGCACTGGAATGTGCCTTTCCTTGCTGCCGATGGCAGGTACCACTGTCTCTCTGACTGTCCTGTCTTTGTTTCAGACAATTGACAAAAAAGTCTGCAGCAGCAATCCCTGTCAGAATGGTGGAACCTGCCTCAATCTGCATGATTCCTTTTACTGTATCTGTCCCTCACAGTGGAAGGTGAGTCACTTGGTCTTTGGTTAAAAATGATGGTGAATCAGCATCTGTGGTTTCCTAGGAACCATCCAGACATATTTAATTTTCCATCTAAAGTTTCTAGGATTCTGTGGCTTCCCAAATCAGGGTGAATTACACCATGTATGCCAAAATCCAAACAATGGCAAGTGTGGTTACATAAACCACTGAATACTAAGCCATCTTAAAGAGAGGTTCACTTGATTGAATAACTGCATGGAAGGGCATGCTATTTCTGTTAGCATGAATTTAAATTGTTCAGCATTAGAAATCTAAAACTGAATAAATCTTGATATACCAATGTAAATTTTCTTGCCCTTTTATAGTAGTGGTGAAAATGTTCCTGGCATGCTCATTAAAAAAAAAAAAATTAAGTATTTCCAGGCATAGCACCATTGTGAAATTAGGACTAGTTTGTGTAAGGATTCCCCTTGCATGACAGTTGTGTCCTTATAAGGAGCCCTTTGATTCTATTAGGTCAAATCTGAGTTCCAGAGGAAGTATTACCAGAGGCTAATATTAGTACTATTGCATTTGGCTTTACTGAGGACTTATGTCCTGTCTGTATGTAAATCTTTAAACATGTCTTATGAATATCGGCCCCCAGATACCTCTGTGACCCATGGCACCTGACTTTGTTCTTTATATGACTTGCAGGGTCCTCTCTGCTCAGTTGATGTTAACGAGTGTGAGATTTACTCAGGAACACCCTTGAGCTGCCAGAATGGAGCCACATGTGTGAATACAGTGGGAAGTTACAGGTAAATTTTTTTTTTTTTAAATATCAGGTACATTTTGAAGGACTAAAACATCCCATAATTAACTATCTGTATAACCAGCAAAATTACATACTCCGTGGGGAAGTACGTTCAACCTATATATAGTTATTTTTACTTAGATGAAGAGAAAACGTCATGAGTCCTCAACTCTCAGGAAGAAATCCTTTCTCTAGCGTCCCCAAGGAATAGGAGGAAGGCTGCTGTGACTTCCATAGAGAGTAATGATAGCATGGCACAAGATGAGCTGAAGCATTAGCTAGAGTCAGAGCATGGAAGGGACAGTGACTGAATGGCTTGAAGGAGAAAAGGGACACCCCATCATTCCAGTGCACCACTGCTGTACTCATTCTGTAGATTAGTGAGCTCTTAGTTTTAGTAAGAATAGCTTCATTCGACACTACGTAAAAATGTTGACCATAACAAGATCAAAGATTAAACTGAGGTTCAATGAATAAATTTGCCGGGGACCAGCCCCAGCACAGAGATTGTGAAGGTCCCCACTGGTAAGGGATCCCCCAAAAGGGAGGAAGGGCAGCGTCGGCGATGGAGCGGACAGCAAACATACAGACTCAAAGGATCTGTTGAATGCTGGGACAACAAACACACAGACTCAAGGGATCTGCTGAATGCTGACAATTTATTGAAGCAAGCATCAGACTTTTATACTTTTCTTTCTTATTTGCTACATAATCATAAAATAATCAATGAACAATATCATAATATCTCTTTGTAAGTGACATATGTTTTAAGAAAAATAGCATTACAGTTTATTCCCAGAAAAGACAATTACAATGTCCTTTCCTTTGAGCAAGAACGTTACAACCCACTGGTCCCATATAATCATCACTTTTCATCACTTGCAATCATTACCGAAACTACATCCATGGTACAATAGACTTTCTATGACGTTATTAAAACTTGATTCACACCTACATCTAACTATTCTTTATTCCTAAATAAACACTCTAAAAATTAACTTGCTTACAACTTAACTTCTACTTCTATTGTAAAACAAAAGATTGTACATTAACTCCTTCCAAGCAGCCAGGCCAAACTCTCAGGCACCAGACAAGACGAATGCCTACATAGGTTCGTTGTCCCCTTCTGGGCCCCACTGCCATAAGCCATCTCCTGAAAATCCATAATCATAAGTATCATTAGTATGATTAAATATTTTAGTATAATTTTGAATCCTACTTCCAAGTCTCCCAGAGCGATAGTTATGAGGCAGCAAAGAATAAAATATAATAAAGCATAACAAGCACACAGAGCTCCAGAATATCAGGGTGGAATGCCGGCATCTTCTCCCACGATGAGGCCTTGCCATCATCCCTTCACGATGAGGCCCTGCAAACACCGTGTTTCATTAAAAGATCTTTATCAGGCTTTAATCTTATGAGTGGGAGGTGCCCCCACATAAGTTAATTCTCATTTCATTTTTCCAGTTAGCCACAAGGTCCCTGACCACAATCATCAGACAGCTGTATCTTCTCCTCTGATTTATTTTGTCAAATGACAGCATTACGCTGCTCAGCTCAGCCATCAACCTTCTCCACGAAACCTTCCCTTTTCTCGTTAAGCTGCATTAGGCATAACAATGCCTCTGTGTTCCCATCATTGTCTGGGAGTATTGGTCATCAAAGCTATACTGGCTTGCACATAATTATCCTTTTAACAATCAAGTTAAAAAATTTATGGCAGATCAACATCAAACTTACTTTTGTATAGTCCCTTAAAATCACTTTTTTTTTTTCCTTTTTGTCTTTTTTCGTGACCGGCAACGGATCGCAACCCTCAGTGTCACGCCTGTACCGGACCGGGACCGGCAACAGGATCGCAACCCTCAGTGTTGCTCCCACACCTCGCTCAGCCAGTGAGCGGGAACCGGTCCGTATGTGGGATCCGAACCCTCAGTGGGAGCGCCACCGCGCTCCCAAGCGGCGCACTGTAGCAGTGCGCCACCGGGCCGGCCCTTAAAATCACTTTTTAAAAAATCTCTAGACACTATACTTCCCCATATTTTGGCCACTTCCCTGTATTCTGTGATTATTCAAAGATTGAGAAATTGCTCCTGTTAGGGCCTGACCAAATTCGTTCAGTACTCTGAGGTATAATCTCACTGGATTGAAGAGCAATTACTTGCTCTCTTACTAGCATCAATTTGTTGTTCTTCAATTTCCTTGTAAAAATATCCATTCTGTTCTTTCTAGCAAAAATGAGTGCAGTAATTTTTTTTTACCCCAGTGATCTGTTAGTACACTCTTCTCAAAAAGCAGTAACAGTCTTTCTCTTCTCATTTCATTAATCCTTTTGTTCTTTTGATCTGATCTTTAAAACTTTTGCTCATTCCAGGTCATAAACTTAACTCATGGAAAGACATGGGTCTAGCAAGGATATTATTTATGCCTTGAGGCAAGTGATTATGGAATAGATCCATCTAAAATATGGTACTCTGCATTTTGTTGCTTTATTTATTATTTTTTTAAATGAGAGTAATACCAGCCTTCTTCAAAGAAACAAAGAAGGTGAAGACCTATTGCTTCAATAATAAAGAACATTTTCTACAAGATGGGAGTTTGGTCAAGTATGCTTTGGGGGTTTTCTGTATTTAGGAGATCCTGAATTATTTGTTGGCCAATTTCCAGGCAAGTACGAATCAGTGCAGCCTTTAAATTCTCTAAGTTTACAAAAACAAAAAAATACTGTCTGTGGCAGACTCATGCTGTGAAGGCTAAACCCTCAAAATAAAATCTAAGCAGGAACTACTCATTTATTAAAGTAAACTGATGGTGTTGCTAGTAATTCCTGTCCCATATATCTGATTTAAAAAAGCAGATTTGGTAATGGATAAATAACAGTCCTGGCAGATGAACTCAACCTAATAGATAAAAGTTTACTTAGGTCACAGTTGCCTACAAATATGGGTTTCAAGACAAACATAAAGCTTTAGAATTTCATTATGTTTTAGAATCACCACTGTCTAATGTTCAAACATTTATTTAAGTCCTCCTAATGAAGAAGAAATGCATGTTTATGGCTTTCTTTAAATATAAATGCAGTGATCTATGGCTTTGGGAAAAAAAATTATTTGTGACAGTGTTTGTTAATTCAGCCAATAGAGTTCTTTACAGAAAAATGAAGCATGCAATAGTTCTTCCTGTACAAGAACTGTTTCTCCCCCACCCCCAAAACCTTAGCTGCTTGTTCTAAGGTTATTTGTAAAAACTGAAATTCTGTGATTAAGGAGAAGCTAGATTTCTAAAACAAAAATAAAAACAAAAATCTGGTAGATATGTCTATGAGTTCAATCACAGGGAAAAACCAAAATTAACCACCTCTGACTTACATTTAGTATTGCATTATTAAAGAGCCCTTTGCTTTCAGGACTTTGTTTCTTATTTAAATGAATTCCCTGCTACCTGCTTTTATAAACTTTCAGGCTTCGTCTAAATCCAGAATGCAGGTCTAATCTCTCATTTCCTTGAACGTGTTATCTCTTGATTTCTGTTTATGGGCATTTATCAAGGAGAATTGGTACTTGAAGATATCAGTGGCAAATGTCCCAACTCCTAGAGCACATATACTTTCTGGCCTTCCTGATATCTAGGAATGTCCAGATTAGATCTCATTCCTGGTCTTCCTTTATTATCACTGTCTTTTGGGGTCTTGCACACCAATAGAGTGACAAAGATGAGCAAATGGGATGAAATCCATAGACCAAGACAAAGTAGTTGTTGTTTTCAGCACTTCAGTTTTTTCCCCTGTAAAAATAGAAAAAAAACAAAAACAAAAACAAAACACAAACGTTAACATGCACACCTATTTGCTGCATATCAGGGGTTAGAGTTCTTTCTCCAATATGGGGTTATGGGGGAGATTTTATTTGTTGCGAGCTGCATTCCTAAATGGCAGATTCAACTTTGTAAAAGAACTATTGGATTCTCTCTTGCATTCTCTTGTAAAAGAAAGCACAAGGACTCCGTGTGCTGATGACTCTGCAAATAATTTTGATTTTTAATCTCTGCCCTTCATAGATTCTCTGAAGGACATTAGAGAGCAGAGCATTTAAATCTGGTTTCTTTCTCGTGATATAGAAATAGTTTATGAAGTCAAATGAATCACAGTTGATTATGACTTAGCTACTTTTTGACTTTTTGAAGGAATAAAAAAAAAGTAGAAAAATGTGCATAAACATAGGATTAAATTCTTCCTTTGTGGAATCTGTGTATAATGAAATAGTGAACATTTACATACTTCTTTGAGTTTTATTAATTATGAGATGTTAAATCCTTATTAATTAGTATCTTCACTGAGGATAGAAATCCCTTTGGAAAGCTTCAACACACATTTGCTAAAGGAAAACTTGAGTGGCTGAGTAATCTGAACTTGCAAAAATGTAGTCATGGTGGACAAAGTTTGTTTTCAATTTGGGTTTTCTTTAACTCTTCAAGTCCATGTACTTTGGGAGAAAAGGGGATCTTTATTTAATGGGATTAATAATTCATAATTGTAAAGACCTTTGAAAAGATAAAGCAATATGCAAACACTAATTAATTGGATTCTCTGTTTCATAGGAAATTTTCTGGTAAAAACCTTTCTTTAGAATAATGAGAGTAGAGCAAGAAAAAACATTATCTGTTTCCACTAATTCTTCTGGTTTGAGGTCTTGCCCCCAACTGCTTCCAACAGCCTACAGAATGATAGTTTTGCCATGTCTCAATGCTGTTATTACCTCTGTCCTGAAAAATTGATTCTTATTCCCCTGCTTCTTTTGGATTTGAGACAGCCCTGGGGATCCGCACTTGCCATGCATGGATGGTGATTATTCTAGCTCAGATCTAGAATGCTTTGTAGAAAAAAAATGAGTTTGTTTGTTCCTCCAGGAACATGATGATGATTAGTATACTTTATTTTATTTATTTTCATTCATATCACATAAAACATGCACAGCTTAAACAATGAGGATAATCTGGTTTTAGCTCAGGTGGTAGTTAGGTATTAAACTCATTACCTCTTTCAGTTAGTCAGTGATATTAATATTGAACCATGGACTCTAACACAAGTTAAATTATGACTCTGGAAGTATGTTTGACTTCTTCTCAATTGCTAATTGCGCTTGCAGTGTTTTTGAAGACTGAAAAGCCTAATGTTATTCTGCAGGAACCAAATCAGCAATAGAAGATCATTACAAAAATGGCTTCAGCTAAATCATTAACTAATAACTAATAGGCAGGAATAGTTCTTAGTTTTAAAAATACCACATGTGACTTTTATTTTCACTTTTGGAGATATGTAATTAATTGTTCCTTTTCTTTAAAGGCCATATCTAGACACATTGAGAATATATTTTGCATGCAAACACTGTTATGTTAAAAAGACACATAAAAATGCAAATTCTTCAAATAAACTCTTTCAGAACACAGGAATGCAATTTGGAAAAACAACGATGCAGGAGTAACATAGACTAGGATTTCACTCATCTTCTACCAATGACTAATTCTGTGGCTGTGAGCAATGCAAGTCTGTAAAATGGGATTAATAGCACCTGTTTTGAGAATCATAGCAAGGAAATCTATAGTTTACCTGGCTTCTTCCTTAGAAACTGCTCAAAGGTGCCACCCCAGCAATTGATTCTGGAGCCCACCATGGGCACACTAAGTTCTGCACCCAGAGTGTGGGTCTTGATGCTTCTCAAACAGCCAAACTTGCATTTTCCACACTGTCATTTACATGTTGTCATCCACGGACATTAATGGAGCTCCTGGTATCCCAATGTGTATTGTTAAAAGAGCTTCTTTACCTTGTAGAATGGCCCTTCTTCCAGAAAACTCAGAAACTAGTCATGGTTCAAGGGATGGGAAGAAGGTGCTGCCCGTTCCTTGTCTCTGACCCCTGGCACTGATGGTCAATTCCCTCCACAAGGGCTTTTCCTGCCACTGCTGCTCACATTTGGCAAATAGTGACTTCTTGGCCTGGCTGTTGCGCTCTATCAGATGTACTCAGACAAGTGCAAGTAAGCTTAGGCTTCTGTGACTTCTCTGTCCCTTTCTTTTCCCCCAACTCCCATACTCATACTTTACAAGTTCCCATTTAAGCTGCAGTGCACATATAAAACTAATGCAGCAACTTTAAGAATTACAGTGGTTTAATACAACTCTGTTTATGTGATTATTACTGGACTGAAATCTTTCAGTAACAAAACACCTACTGCTGGCTTAGGTATTATGTAATAATTACCACATTTAGGTGTGCATTAAAATGTGACTACTTGGTAGTTTGTATGTGCCCAGAAATTTACCCATTTGCTCCAGGTTTTCAAATTTGTTGGTGTATAGTTATTTATAATAGTCTCTAATGACACTTTGTATTTCTGTGATAACAGTTGTAATGTGTCCTTTTCATTTCTGATTTTTGTTATTTGGGTCTTCTCTCTTATTGTTTCAGTTAGACTAGCTAGTGGTTTGTCTATTTTAATTTTTTTAGTCTTCTCAAAAAAATAACTTTCTTTCATTGAACTTTTGTATCATTTTGGGGTCTGTGTTTCATTTAGTTCTGCTCTGATCTTAATTATTTCTTTCTGTCTACTAATTTTGGGATTGGATTGTTCTTGCTTTTCTAGTTCTTTGAGGCGTTTGTTAGGTTGTTTATTTGAGACTTTTTATTCTTTTGATGTGAGCATTTATTGCAATAAACTTCCTTCTTAGTACTGCTTTTGCAGTGTCCCATAGGTTTTGGGATGATGTGTCTTTATTTTCGTTAGTTTCAAGAGATTTTTTGATTTCCTGTTTAATTTCTTCTTAGACCCAAATGTCACTCAGTAGCATGTTGTTTAATTTCCATGTGTTTATATAGTTTCCAACTTTTTCTTGTTATTGATTTCTAGTTTTAATCCATTGTGGTTTGAAAAGATACTTGAAATTACTTCAATTTTTAAAAATTTTTGAGACCTAATTTGTGACTTAATATGTGGTCTATCCTGGAGAATCTTCCATATGCTGATGAGAAGAGTGTGTATTCTGTGGTTATTGGATGAAATGTTCTGTAGATATCTGCCAAATACAAATGATCTAGAGTGTGGTTTAAATCACATGTTTCTCTGTCGATTCCTTGCCTAGATGATCTGTCCAATGCTGAGAGAAGGGTTTTCAGGTCCCCAACTATTATCGTATTTGGGTCTATCTCTTTCTTTAGGTCTTATAATATTTGCTTTATGTATTTGGGTGCTCCAGTGTTGGGTGCATGTATACTTATGATTTTTATGTTTTCTTGCTAGATAGGTCCCTTTATCATATAATGGCCTTCTTTGTCTCTTTTTACAGTTTTTGGTTTAAGTCTACTTTATCTGATATTAGAATAGCTACTCCTGCTTATTTTTTATTTCCATTTGTGTTATATATCTTTTCCATCCCTTCACTATTAGTCTGTGTGTACCTTTAAAGGTGAGGTTAGTCTTTGGTAGACGGCATATAGTTGGGTCTAGCTTTTTAATCCAATTAGCCAGTCTGTGTCTTTTGAGTGGGAAATTTAATCCATTTACACTTAGGGTTGTTATTGAGTGGTATTGTCTTACTCCTGGAATTTTTTTGATTTTCATTTGGATATTTTAAATATCTTTTGATTCTTTCTTTCCCTTTTATTATTTGTCTTTGATGTTTGTTGGGTTTTTGAGGTGGTAAAATACAGTTTCTTTCTCTTTCACATTTGTATTATTGTTCTACCAGTGGGTTTTATTCTTTCTTGTATATTCATGGTGATGATTATCTTTTTTTGGATTTCAGAAGCAAGACTCCCTTGAGGATTTCTTGTAGGGTTGGTTGTGTGGTGGTGAACTCCCACAGTTTTGGTTTGTCTTGGAAATACAATGTTTTTCTCTTTTTTCTGAAGGATAGCCTTGTTGGGTATAGTACTCTTTGCTGGCAGTTTTTTTCTTTTAGTATTTTGCATATATCATTCCATTTTCTTCTGGCCTGTACAGTTTCTTTTGAGAAGCCTGCTGTTAGTCTGATGGGGACTCTCTTATAGGTGACTTGATGCTTTTCTCTTACTGCTTTTAGGATTCTCTCTTTGTCTTTGAGTTTTGCCAGTTTGACTGTAACATGTCTTGGAGATGTCCTTTTTGGATTGAATCTGTTTGGGGATCTTTGAGCCTCTTGAACCTGAAGGACCATGTCTCTCCCTATACCTGGGAAGTTTTCTGCTCTTATTCTTTTGAAATGTTTTCAATGTCTTTTCCTTTCTCCTCCCCTTCTGGAACATCCAAGATCCGGATGTTTGTGTGCTTAAGATTGTCTGCTCTCTCTCCTAGATTTTCTTCATTTTTTTCTTTTTCTCTTTTATTTATTTTCTTTTTTGTCTGCCTGAGTTATTTCAAAAAGACTCTCTTAAAAATCAGAAATTCTTTCTTCTGCTTCCTCTAGCCTTCTGCTTAAGCTCTCAGTCCTTTGTTGGACTACTGGATAAGGAAAATGTGTTATATTTACACAATGGAATACTACTCTGCCATAAAAAAGAATGAAATCCTGTCATTTGCAGCAATATGGATGAACTTAGAGAAAATTATGTTAAGTGAAATAAGCCAGGCACAGAAAGAGAAATACTGCATGTTTTCACTCATAAGTGTGATCTAAAAAAAGTAAACAAGTAAATAAAAAAGAAAGAAAGGTACAACTACCACAACAATGCATTGAACTTTCAAAAAGAAAGAGCAGAACTGAGGTTACCAGAAATGGGAAAGAGGGAGGGGAAGGATGTTAAGGGAGAAACTGGTAAAAGGCCACAAAATATGATTACATTATATAATGTTGAATGTATAAATTATCTTGATTTGAGCATTATGTATTGCACACAGGTATTGATATTCAACTCTGTACCCCACGGATATATACAATCAATCATGTTTCAATTAAAAAAAAAAGAAAAAAAAAATAGATGCTATTATACTTTGTAAATTATTCCAGAATTATAAGCCCTGAATCAAGCACATCTATAAACATGTTCAACAAAGTAGTGGACACTATGTTTAACAATTCCACAAAGTTAGACCTCAAAAAACAAAATGTGACTTCAAGTATGAGAGAAATGTCACTATGGTAACTACATCTCTATGGCTAGAAGATGTAGTACCCTTTGTAGTGTAATAATAATTATCACAGATGAGATGTGGACATCACACTGCATGTGGGGTTATACAATCCTAGAGAGCATTTGGGAATTATCAGTTTAGTCAAGGTTGCCTGTGCATACTGGTGAGTCCAGCTGGAAGAATGCTGAGTGAACTTACTGGTCTCTCCCTTTACCTTTTTGAAAGAAATCTATCACCTTTGGTTTACAGACATTTGACCTTTGAAAGCACTATTTGATGACCTCATACCAGAAGAATTTATAATGCTAGACTTATCAGATATTAAGTCCTGAGTCTCTAACACTGTATTTGCAATGATAACACATTTCCACCACTTGGAGCAGAGCAGAATGATTTTCTTACAATTCCACACCAGTAAATCTGGATTGTTGGTTTATAATTCCAGGTTAACATTATTGACTTGCGATTTGAATTTTTTTTAATTGATCCTAACAGACAGTCACTACCCTAAAGCACAAACCCTCACATTGTGCCTTTGTGTCACCAACAGTTGTCTCTGCTCACCTGAGACATATGGACCCCAGTGTGCTTCCAAATACAATGACTGCGAAGGGGGCTCTAACGCACGCTGTGTCCATGGCATCTGTGAGGATTTAGTCCGAGAACAAGCTGGAGAGGTAGGTCGGTCTTTTTCCTAATTGTGACCCCTTTAAGAAACCACAGTTGTTAGTTCCTTATCCTGTGCTGACTGTGTGTGAACAATGCCCCGAGGAGCTGCAGAGGTGAAGTCATTTCCTGCCTGTAAGCAGGGAAAAGGTGAGGAGGGGAGATGAGAGAAGCAGAGAAATGGACCCGGAGGTTAAGATTGCACTATGTAAAATACTAACATTTTTACTGTTGCTTCATGAATCTCCCTGTGGCACATGACCTTCTCATGATCTTGTGAGTTTTACTAGTGACAAGACATGGAAACACAAAATCATGCAGTTTTTAAGAGTCTGGATTTTTCAGGCCCCAAGCCCCTGTTAGTGCTGCAGGATCTATGAACCCATTTCCCCTATGCTCTGGGTCCTGATGACCTTGACTCTTGACGCTCAAGTTTGCTCAGTCCCAGCCATCTTGGCTCTTCATGACAGCTTCAGTTCTTTACTTTTAGTTCTATTTTTTTTCTACCCATGTGATGAAAAATGGTTCACTCCCAATGATGGGGGTGGAGAGGATGGGAAGGCAGGTGGGAGGGGAATGAGAGACTTTCAAAAAGGAAACAAACAGAATTGATTTTCCAAGGTCTGTCCCTACTTGGGTGTTTTTCCCTCTAAAAACATAGCAGGCTGAGTTGATTGACTTTAATTATATTGACTTACAGTTCTTGATTGTTGTTGCTCTTTCCCTGGCATCTTTGAGATAAATTATAGGTTTCTCTTACTCCGAAATAAAGATGTTTCCCTTTTTGCATGGTCTGGTCTAAATGCTTAATCATAGGGGAACTAAAAGAGAGGCCATTCGATTGGCCTCATGGAAACAAATGTTACAGGATAAACAGTTCGGGACTTGGTGAGATTTTTCTAAGGCTTTTCTTGCTCACTTTTGTGATTGTATGTATTCACATTGTTGTCCTCTTGCCAGCCCAAGTACAGCTGCCTCTGCAATCCCGGGTGGACGTCCCCACTGAACAGCTCTGCCTGTGTGCTGGACATAGATGAGTGTAGCCTCTGGCCCGCACCTTGTTCCACACATGCACAGTGCTTCAACACTCCAGGATCTTTCTATTGTGGGGCATGTGCCACAGGTATGTTCTTGGGGCCACGTGCCAGCCTCTGCATGCCAGGTAGCAAGGTGCCAGAGCCAACTTCCTTCCTCTACCAATGGCTAACACTGTTCTTAGAAGGTGTTCCAATGCAGTGTCATGTCCTATTTCACTGACTTCTACTCAAGACCATCTTACTGCTGTAATAATTCCACAACAGAGGTGAGAGGTTTGTCCAGAACTGTGCTAGAGTCAAATCGTGGCAGTGTTAGCCTTAGAGTTTATAAAGACAAATGTTGTATTGCCATGCCATTGACTCACTTTTGTCGTCAAAAGACATGTATTCTAGTCCCACCTTTCATACTAACCAGGTGCTTGTAAACTTGTGTAAATTTATTGACCTTTTTGTGTCTCCATCACAGTCCAGTTGTTCTAACCTGGGTGTGTCATTACAGTATCCTATGGCCTTGCCATAGATAAGAATATCCAGCACCATCAGCCTCACAGAGACTGAATCTCCAGGGGAGGCCATACATTGAATCACTGAAAATATGGGCTCTGTAGTCAGAGACTGCCTGGGTTTGAATCCAAGTTTTACCTCTTACTATGTGAGATCATCATCATCCATTCAGCACATATTTGCAGGGTGCCTACTGTGAGCAAAGTTCTGTGCTGGGTGCACTGGTAAGCAATTAACCAGATCACAGGGAGTTTACAAAGCCTCTCTGTACTCCCTGGGTGTTCTTAGAAAGTGGAGCACAAAGAAAATAAAATAATAGCAGCTGTTCTTTTGTGAAAACAGTGTAAGCGATTTTTAATTCTTGCAACTACAAAAGCAAGAAATGGTAAAAATTAATATTATTTGCATTTTTAAATGTGAAAACTTGAGGCTTAGAGAGGTTAAATAACTTGCCCAAGGTCACATAGCTTATAAGTAGGCAGGATTCAAACCTAGGTCTGCCTGATTCTGGAGCTGAGCTGCCAAATACTCCGTTACTCTGTCTCCTATGGAACCCATGCATTTATTGCTTTATTTGTGACTTTTGGTTTAGTGATTTTCTGCATGTTATATGTTTAGATCTTGTAAAATTAGGAAGAAATTAAAAAACAGGTAAAGACTTCTCCCCTCTTCATTCTCAGGAGCAAGCGAAATTTGCAAATAATCATATTTTTGAAGGTAATTTGTCAGTGATAATGTTAAAAACTAAAAAAATCAGAAAAGTAAATTATCAAATAAGAGGGTATGTTCTTATGTTGTTCTTTTTATTGTTGAAGATAAAAAAGAAACAAAGTTTTTTGTTTTCCTGTTATTCGTCCTACTTTTTTTTTACTGAATATCAAAGTCATATTTACTGCTTATAAAATATAAATAAACTACAAAAATATGAAAAAAAGAACAAATACCTATAATCTTATTACGCAGAGGACCACCATTAACATTGGGGCATATTTCCTTCCAAGTTTTCTCTGTGTACTCATCGTCATGCACAAATATAATTTTCTTAGAATCTTAGGTAGGGACTCTATTGTAGATCAAAGGATATGAATATTTTAAAAGCTTTAAAAGTTTAAAAATATTTGTATAATTTTAATAATTTGAATTATAAGAGTAATACAACTTGTAATTACTGGATAAAACGAGAATGTCTTCACTTTCAATCATGTCCTCTTAGTGAGACCACTGGTAGCTGTTGGTTCTCGCTCTTCTACCTTTTGCCACATATGCAGGTTTTTAAAACATTCTTTACCAAAATTGGGAGTAAGATTCCAGCTCTGCATTTTATTCTAAAATTTGGTATTTTCAATTAAAATATATGGGAAAATTCTTTCAATATATGTGTGTGTGTATGTATGCACATATGGATGGATATATGTTATTAAAGTTGTTTTTAATATTCAGTGATATAGATAAGTTGTAGGATATTCACCTATACCCCTGTGATCCATTGAGGATTTTTCCCCTAGTGAACAATGCTGCAATAGAAATTCTCTTACATCTTAATATACTGGTAGTTTTATCACCATAGAGTAAGTTTCAAGGAGTGAAACTGTTAGTCAAAAGCTATGTATTCAAAAACTTTTAATGAATACTGCCAAATCTCTTTCCAAATAGGTTATAATAATTTAACATCCAACTAACATTATTTAAGGATACTCCAATTGCCCACATCTTTGCCAGATTTGATTCTAAGAACTTAAAACAATTTGTGACAATAGGATAGGTCTGTCTCATTTTTGCAAGATTCGATTCTAAGAACTTAAAACAATTTTTGCCAATAAGATGAGTCTATCTCATTTTAATCTATAGTCCCTTGAGTATAGCAGGTTTTTAGTATGTTGTGACTATTTGCATTTCTTTTTTATCTGTATGGCTAACCTCTCCAATGTTCTTCTAGGCTGGCAGGGAAATGGATACATTTGTGAAGATATCGATGAATGTGCAATAAATAATGGAGGCTGTTCTGTGGCTCCACTTGTTGAGTGTGAGAATACTCTCGGATCTTACCACTGTCAGTCCTGTCCACCAGGTATCGCACTACATTTTCTGATACCATTACAGGTAACACATGCATCTGAAAACAGAATCGTGTGCTCCATTTCAAATATGTCTGTCTGGGGAGAGAAACTGAATAGTGCAGAAAGTTTTGTTTAACTTGTAGATTGGGGATACATTAGTATAACTTTAATCATAAAAAATAAATAAAAAGTATAAAATATTTTGAGTAGCGTTGGGAAACAGCAAGCCTTACAAACTGTGAAATAGCTGCTGAAATAATGCAGGATTTGAAAAATTTTCTGAGTGGATCACAGACCTACTGCTCCATTGTCCCCACAAATAATTGATGAGTATAGTGCACTCAGGAGATGTTTTACATATAAAGTTTACTCAATCACCAGCATAATAGTGTGCACATAATACATGTTAGTTTCCCTTCTCTTCTGTAAAGGAGTCATTACTACCATTCTCTAATCTAAATTGAATTACTATCTAAGAAGTTCAGGGGGTTCTCAGGAATAAAGTGAACTTTTATGTTTTAATAACACATAACAATGGTACTTTGGACTTCTACAATAATTTACCTCGAAAAACAGAGTGACTGTAATTGTCAGCTTTCTTAGTGTCAGCACTTTCTAAGTCTAGCAGTAGTTTCATACTTTTAAAATTAGAAACAACCCAGAACATTGTTTATGACATCAGATAGCTAATGCTTGCTGTTCTTTCCCTTAATTATAGAATTCTATTTGTTTATGACACTTTATATTTACATGTTGTGTTTTGATATTAGAGGCTCTCTGGTTGGTCTAGCTCATGATATTTGGTCCTCAGATGGGCATTCTTCTCCCACGTTCTTGACGTTGTTTCTCATGCCCCTGCTCTTGCTCTGATCAGGGTATCAGGGTGATGGAAGAGTGTGCACGCTCACAGACATCTGCTCAGTCAACAACGGGGGCTGCCACACAGAAGCAACATGCTCCTCAGCTCTAGGTAATTACTCATATCTCTCTTTGGCTTTAGGTATTTTAATATGATCCTCTAAAACAATCCAACATTTTTTTTTCCTTTTTGTCTTTTTTACTGACCGGCAACGGGATCGCAACCCTCGGTGTTGCGCCCGCACTGCGCTCAGCCAGTGAGCGGGAACCGGTCTCCACATGGGATCCGAACCCTCGGCGGGAGCGCCACTGCGCTCCCAAGCGGCGCACTCTCCAGTGCACCACCGGGCTGGCCCAACAATCCAACATTTTAAAAACAAAATCCTGTGTCCTCAAAATTATTATTTTGATCTTCAAACCCCAAATCAATCCATGTTATAAAACTATGCATTTAATTTTTTTAAAAAATGCTGTAGACTATGCTCTTTAATGATCTGCTCCATTTAAGAGTTACTTCCCAAGGAAACTGAGCAAGCTAATTAATTCATGACTATATTCCAGCAAGCAGGAAGGAGAAAAAAAGGAAGAAAGCAAAAGGATTCTTCCATTTTTATGCCATTGGCTCAGTTCTGGCCTTAAAGAAAGGATGATACCTGATGGCATACAGAGGCTGGGCTTCATGAATCCAGCTGAAATAAGGAGTTCACCACTAAGGAAGGGGAAAATGGACCTAGGGAAAAACCCAGCAGTGTCTGCAAATGCTGCATAAAAGAGGAGTCATCTCCTATAATTTAGCAAAATATATATTGCTAAACTTTCTTCGAGCAATGTTGTATCAATGTACAGATGGGTATACGCTCACCAATGGTACAAGAAAATACATATTTACTCCACCTTTGACAATAATACATACTATTGTTATTTTTCATCTTGGTCAATTTTATTGGTAAAATTAGTTTCTCATAATTTTCATCTACACTTTTAGGTTACTAATAATAAGTTTTACATTTTTACTGGTCATTTTTTTTCCTGTTTGTGTCCTTTGCTCATTTGCACTGATTTATAAAATTTCATAACGTGCTAAGGACGTTATCTCATTATCTGTCTTATGTTTTAAAAGCATTTTTCCTGGCATGTTGTTTTTCTTTTAATTTTGTGGTGATATTTTCTACTTAGAAGTTAAAAATTTTTACATAGTTAAAAAGATAAGTCTTTTATTATTTCTTTGCTTAGAGTCATGTTTAGAGAGGCCTTCTTTACTAAATACTTTTAAAATAGTCAAGTATATCTACTATTATAATTTTATGTTATTTTTTTACATTTAGATGTTTGACATTTTTAGAATTTATTTTTTATCTATAGCATCAAATAGAAATCTAGCTCAATATACATATACTTGTGACTAAATTAACAGCATACAGAAATGGTGAGAAGCATGATTTCTAAAAATCACTGCTTATATGTCTCCCTTTGCTCCACCATATTCTAGCTGTGTGCCCTTGGTCAAGACACTTAATGTCTCTGTGCTTTAGTTCTTCATCTGTAAAATGCAGATAATAATAGCATGTACCTTATAGGGTGTTCAAGAGGATTAAATGAGTCCATATGTGTAAAGTACTTGCAGCAGATACTATTCTTTTTAAACTTACATGCTTTCATTTCTTTTTTATTATTATTATACGTACATGTGGGGTACAACATTGATTTTCAATAATTGTGTACAATGTGTGGTGGTTAGATCAGTAGGGTACAACATTGATTTTCAATAATTGTGTACAATGTGTGGTGGTTAGATCAGTAGGGTACAACATTGATTTTCAATAATTGTGTACAATGTGTGGTGGTTAGATCAGTATAGTTAGCCTATTCATCATTATAATATACAATCATTCTTTGTGTCTGTTGATCAATTCAAGACCTCTCTTTTTATATATATAGAACACAGTGATGTTGTATAGACGGCATGAAGTAGCACATTTATGTACTTTTAGGCTGACCTTCTTTACTGCAACCAGTATGCTTACCCCAGGAATCTTGCAGCATGTCCAGGCAAAGCTGTAGCAGCATTGGAGGATACTTACCCTATTTTTCTCCATAAATGTTTTTTAAAGAAGTTATTAACTATAAAGAGCACATCTTTAGGCAATTATTTATTTTAAAAAGTATCTATGTTTTTTATTATTAAAACTGTGTCTTGCAAATAATATAAGCTGAAGATTATATTATCATTCATTTATTTTATTTTATTTTTTAAAGATAACTGGTAAGGGGATCTTAACCCTTGACTTGGTGTTGTCAGCACCACGCTCTCCCAAGTGAGCCATGGGCCGGCCCTATCATTCATTTCTATTGTAAATCTGTCATGTTGCATAATTTGTTCTATTTGTTTCTTTAATTCTTCAATAAGGTTTTATATCCACATCACTGGGAAGGTGTGAAGTGCCCGTTTAAACTCTACTCCTGTGCAAGATGTTGCAGGCACCTTGCACATGAGGGTGCTTCTGGCGTCCTTGGCTCCTCCACATTCCAGCTGTGTGTCCTCGGTTGGGACACTCTCTCTGGACTTGGTCTTCATTTGTAAAATGGGGATTATAATAATGCCTATTTATAGGGATCTTGAGAAGATTAAATGAGTCAATATATGTACAGTGCTTGCAACAGACGCCATTGTCCTGAGAATCCTCCTTTGCACTGATTGCCTCTCCATGCTGAGAAACTCCATGTTCCCTTGGCGTACCTCACATCTGTACACAGCGCAGGACCATCTGAAATATGGACCCACAGAGCCAGTGTTAACCCATATATAAAGTGTTACAAATATTGAATAGCTTTCTTATTTTAAGATAAAAATGGAAACATAAGTATTCTAATATTTTCTCTCTTCGTACCTTGTTTTGTCTGCCCACAGGAAGATGTAGACTTGGTGTTGATAGATTCTTGTCTTGACAGGAGAGCCTGAGTTTAGTTACTGCCTCTGAACCGAGGAGAAGACCTGTATTTATACTCCCATGTTTATTTCTGAACAGGTTCCTTACCTCTCTGCACCTGTCACCCAGGATATACTGGAAATGGATATGGGCCAAATGGATGTGTACAACTCAGCGATATTTGCCAAAGTCACCCCTGTTTAAATGGACAATGCATCGTGAGTCCTTTGTTCTTCCTGTGGAGATGGAGAACTCGAGAATTATTTTAGTTTTACTTCTATAAAGTACATTTTTATATGATTCATGAATCTTAAGGTAATGGTTCAAGCTTAAGGTAAAGAATTGTCAATAACTCTCAGATAAAAGGTAGGAAGTAACTAGTTCCTAGGAAAAACCAATGAGTTAATTTTTTTGTCTCAGTGATTTACAAAATAGTAAACAAAACTCACAGTTTAACCCAAATAAATTTGTCTTCTTATCCTTAGCAATTGCCATTTAAACTTATTACAAGTTAGGCTACTAGAAAATACTTATTATGGTTCAACACCTGTTAAATACATCACAAAGCATTAGTTTTTTTAATTGTTTGAGTTGATTCAAGTTTATCGTCTATCCATTTGTTTATGGTATTATGTTGTGTTTTTTCCCCTTAGCCAACAGTCTCTAGCTATTTCTGTAAGTGTGAATCAGGGTGGGCTGGTGTCAACTGCACAGAAAACATCAACGAGTGTTTGAGCAACCCCTGTTTGAATGGGGGAACTTGTGTTGATGGCATTAATGCCTTCAGTTGTGAATGCACACGTTTCTGGACTGGAGCCTTCTGTCAGATTCCTCAGCAAGGTACAGTCAGCATTTCTTATACCACAGATACTGACAGCTTAGAAGCACCATCCTGTACTGAGTCCTTATGCAGATTCTTCTGCTGAACCTACTTTCTCGTCCAGTTGCTTAGATGCTGAGAACTAAGTCTTTCCTTGCAGAACTGGTATAGAATTCACAAGGTAAATATTTAAAAATATCGATTTTAGCCAGAAGAACTGTTTTTCAAAAGAAGAGTTAAATTAGTATTTGCCATTTTCATTATATCCTTTCCAAATATCAAATATGCTGAGGAATTGTCCTTTCTAGTTTTCTAAGGGAAAGTTTTCTGTACAGGAGCTATGAAATTTTGCTCGAATACTACACTTCGTTGTGTTCCTTTCCTGCTCTAGAATACACAGTGGCTCCCTCTTGCTTGTTATATAGAGATGGGGATTGTTTTCCTATTATCCTCCTATAACCGGGCCTCACCTTATCTGTCTAACCTTATTTTTCACTAGTTCCTTAGAAATACCTTTACTCAAGCCAGACAATTTTCTTTTGCCCATAACCCCATGTGCCACCATGAGTATTTCTACTGTGTTCTTTTATTTGGGTTATTTCTCCCCACAACTCTCCCCAAATTCCTTCCTTGTGTCCCATCCAGATGTCTCTGTTCTTCAGGTGTCCTCACATTCAACCTCCTCCATAAGGTCTTTTCTGACTATTCCACCCCTCACTTACTACTCCTGATTCTGAATCAACACATTTCTTGAGATGTTACCACGTGTTTAGGATGATAGACCCTGTGGAGAAATATGGAAGCATAAAATGTTGTCTGCACTTATTATCTGCTTACCTTCCAATTAAGGAGATAAGACTCACACAAAATAGCAAAAAAAGATACAAGAACTAGAGACATACACTAAACTGTATGGGGTAAAGTCAAATGTCATACAGATAAAGAGAATGGGAGCCAGAGAAATCAGAAAGAGTCCAGGGAAGGTCATGGAGGAGGTAAGAAATCAACATCTTGGATGCTGGACAAGAGGTGGGATCTGGGTGGGTGTTGAAAGAAAGAGGACAGAGAAGAGGTAATGGTGGGATTTTGGTCTCCCACATTAATTATTTAGACTTTTGTAAATATTTCAGCATCAGCATTACAGTTGCCTAGCCTCTTTCTTTTAGGAGTCACTGAAAGCACAGTTCATCTTCTTCTTTGCAGTTTGTGGAGAGTCCCTCTCAGGGATCAATGGAAGCTTCAGCTATATGAGTCCCGATGTTGGTTTTGTCCATGACGTTAACTGCTTCTGGGTTATCCGAACTGAAGAGGGAAAGGTAAGTGTAGTATCTCCTGTCCAAGTGCACATTTCATTTGTATGTATGCATGTGCAATATGTGTATATATATATGTTACATAAAGTGACAATTCAACTATCATGTATTGAGTACTTACTAAGTGTCAGGCATTGGGCTAGACATTTTGCCTACCTTTCTCTAACATTATGCTAATTCTTTGAAATAGGTAATAGTATCCTCATTTTATAGATGAAATCATGGAAAGTAAGAGAAGCTAAGAAAAAAATTTTAACACTCCTTAGCTTGTAATTGGAACAGTTGAATTTCAAAGTCAAGTTTGTCTGGTTCCCAAGTTCATGATTTGTCTAGTATGAATGTTTCTCTACAGCGGTTGGCTAACTGACAGCCAGTAGTTAATTTGTAAAGTCATGTAGTCACTTAGTATTGTTTGAAGATAATCCCTCCATATTATGTTGATCATTATGCAAAAAACGGGATTGATATTAGGATGGCTTTCTCATCAAATATCTTCTCTGTGCCAGGTATTTTGCTAAATGCCTCATATACATTATATCATTCCATTTTTAACTCTCACAACACTGAAAGATAGGAATTAATATCCTCATTTCACGTGGCAGGAAACAGAGCTTAGTCTAGTTGAGAAATTTGTCCAGGTGCATACGGTTTGTAAGAGGTATGCAGTGACTTTAACCCAGGTCATTTGACTCCAAAGTGTGTGACTCTGAGACACTGCATGAAACTCCTCAAGTTAAGATCTAAGCCTAAGGTTTTTAGTGTTTTTACCATAGACATTAATTATTCAGACTTTTCTAACTATTTGATTCTCAACCACCTCCAGGACTCGTTAAAATGAAGTGGCATGTCCGAATAGATAAGATTTTTCCTTGAAATCCTATTAACGCTTTCCAGCAAAATGATATTACAGAGGGCATTGTGCAAGGGTCAGAAAACATTTTTTACCCTTGAGGAGGGAGGGCTCTTTGAGGCCTGGTAATGCCACAATAGAATAACTTCCAAAATCAATTTCCCAGAGGGTATGTTATGTGAGTTTCCTTCCTTCCATTTAGTTTTCATGAATTCTATTTCCTGACATTGAAAACACTTTTCTTTCAAGATAAAATTCTTATGTGAAAAACTTTTAGTACTTTTATTACCAATCTGCAAGAAAAGTCATCCTGTTTTTTCCCGATTATAGTGATTTTATACCTCCTTTTCCCTACCATGATGTACACAATATGGTGGAAAACGTATGCAAATCAGGATAGTTCAATTAAGGAATATTTATTTGATTTTTATTTAAATTGCTTCAAGGGAGAAAATGATATAATGATGGGTAACTGATCTTTAAAATATCCTACCATAGAATTACAAAAATTCCTGACTTTTTTTTCGTTAGCTGAATACTATTGTGATGTTAGGTTCTGATTAAAATTAAATTCAGTAGCTTTCTTTTGGTTGTTTACTGTTTTAAATGAGGTTGTTAGTGAAAGATATCTTATATTTTATTGGTAATATTACTGCATTTGAAGTCTGTACATTCTAACACTTTACCCCAGAAATACATTTTTGTGTTTATTCTCTTCTACTTTTATGGTCAGTATTTTTCATATTACCTTTCTCCCACTGTCTGCTGTTGATATCTCAGTGATATCCCAACCCTGAAGATTCAGAGGCTTTACACTTGTCTACACTATACCAACTTAGCCTACTACACCTGAGCATGTCAGTTTGGACTGGGCATCAGAATCTTGATGAGAGGTTCATAGACCCTTATGGAATCAGCATCTCTGGGGACAGTGATGAATGTCGGTGTGTACGATACATGCTACAGGTTATTTAGGGGACCAGGGAATAGATTCTTGTGAATGGCAATATTAGCCACTTAAATTTAATTCAAGGTAGATTTTTCAAATGCCCTAATTATTTCACTGATTTTGAAACACTTTCAGCTATACATTTGATATGCTTTTGATGGATTTGACAGTTCAATGAAATCTAGGTAAATCTATCTCATTAAGATTTTTTGATATATTTTGAAATTAGTTGAAGTCTGGTCTTAGCAATTTTTACCACAAGTCCTTTAATATGTGAAATTGCCATGTATACTGGTGGATAACTAGGAAATATCTCTTGAAAGTCACTTAATATGAATGCTTCGAGTTAGTAAAATACCTTAGAATTAACATGGAAATAAAATATAATGTATTATGGCCTTTATATTTTTAGGTCCTGCGTATCACTTTCACTTTTTTCCAATTAGAATCAGTGGCCGATTGTCCACATGAGTTTCTTCAGATTCACGACGGAGATTCCTCTGCAGCTTTTCAACTTGGAAGATTCTGTGGCTCCGTACTCCCTCCAGAACTTCTCAGCAGTGGCAATGCTCTCTATTTTCATCTCTATTCTGAACATTTAAGAAGCGAGAGAGGCTTTACAGTAAGATGGGAAACAGAGGAACCAGGTATGTGTAAACATGGAGTAAAGCCCACCACATTTTGAGGTTATTAAGTTTTCTTGACCAATATTAGACTTTTGGATATATAAGATGGATTATAATCCAGAGATATATAACATTTTAATAATTATTTGAAAATCAAATAAATCTAAAATAAATTAGGCTTTCATTCTGTGTTCAAAGATAAAATTAGGATGAAATGGAAGGGATTAAATCCATGAGTTTTAATGGGTTCCTTATGAAATCATTGAACAACATTTTTCTAAAATCTGCTAGTGAATTAAATTTACTTCAGAGTTGTTGATGAGGATATTGTTCATTCCTTCCTGTGGATTCCGTATCTTAATTTATTCTTTTTTTGTTGTTTGGGTTTTGGTACTCTATTTTTTAAACTTTTGATTATGAAATTTTTAAACATATAAAAAAATAGAGAGAGCAGTATACTGACATCCCCAATCTGTGGATCTCTTTCTGGAATTTCTCATCTTTTCTTTTGGACTATTTATCTATCCTGTTGCCACTTAGGCTTAACTATTGAAGTTTGAAATCTAGTACTATAAATCTCTAATTTTGTTCTTTTTGTATATGCTAGATTTGTTGCATTTCCATATATATTTTTTAGAATCAATTTGTCAATTTCCCATAACAGTCTGCTGGGATTTTGTTGGCATTGCATTGAATCAATAATCAACTTGGGAAGAAATGACCTTTTAAAGTCCAATCCACGAACATGGACTATCTCTTTATTAATTTAGCTCTCTTTTAATTGATCTTGGCAATGTTTATAGATTTTAGTGTTTATTTTATTTATTTATATTTATATTTTTTTAACTATTATTGAATCAAAATTGATTATACATATTTTGGGGGTTTAACATTGAGATATGTTGATCAAATCAATATTACTAGCATATGTACTGTTACAAATCATACTTATTCTTTATGCCCCTTGTCCAGTCTCACCGCCCTCCCCCTCCCCCCACTAATTACCCTAGATTTCTTCTCTCCTTCTGAAATAATAATGGTTACTCTGTTGATTTGTTGCCTAGATGATCTGTCCAATGCTGAGAGGTGTGATCAGGTCCCCCAATATTATCATAGAGCAGATGCTTCTTCTGTCACTCTGGAATGGGCTATATGGAAAGAGACATCCTCTTCTTTTCTTTATCACTGCTGGTTACTCTCATTGTGTTAATGCATTCCAGTGGCTGGCAGACCATCTGTATGGTGGTTGTGCCATCTAGCTGCTTTTGTGGCAGCCATGGTTATTGTGGTGGCTATGGGCCACCCGCATGGAGGTGATGTTTTTGGCATGCTCCTTGGTGCTGGCAGTATGCTTGGTTGTAGGGGGTATCTGGTCCCTGGCTCCATCCCTTGGGTCCCCAGGTGGGCCCTGAGTGCTGGTGTGGTGTGCCTGGTTGTGAAAGGGAGGTCTGGTCCCCAGCTTCATCCCTAGAGATGGCCCCGAGGCACTGGCACAGTGTGCCAAGTTGTGGGAGGAGGTTTCGGTCCCTGGATCCATGCCTCAGGTCCCTGGGCAGGCCCCAAGGTGCTAGTGCAGTGTGCCTGGTTATGGGAGGGGTGTCTAGTCCCTAGCTCCATGCTCAGGTCCCCGGGTGGCCCTGAAGCACTGGCCTGCTGTGCCTGGTTATGGGATGAGGGTCTGGTCCCTGGGTCCAGACCTTGGGTCCCTGGGTGGGCCCCTAAGCACTGGTGTGAGGAGCCTGGTTGTGGGATGGGGGTCTGGTCCCTAGGAGGGCTTCGAGGCACTGGCATGGTGTGCCAGGTTGTGGAACGGGGGTCCAGTCCACAGCTCCATTCCTCCAGTTGCCAGGTGGGCCCCAAGGCACTGGTGTAGTGTGCCTGGTTGAGGGGCAGTGGGGTCTGGTCCCAGGCTCCATGCCTCAGGTTGCTGGGCAGGACCTGAGGTGCTGGCATGGTGTGCCAGGTTGTGTGTGTGGGGGTCTGATCCCAGGCTCTATCCCTTGGGTCTCCTGGTGGGCCCTGAGATGCTGGTGGTGTGCCTAGTTGTGGGAGGGGTGTCCAGTCCACAGTCCATGCCTCAGGTGCCTGGGCTGGGTTGGAGGAGCTGGTGGTGTGCCTGGTTGTGGGAGGGGGGTCTGGTCCCTGGATCCATGCCTCACATCCCCAGGCAGACCCAAGGCCCTGGAGGTTTGTCCGAGCCAGAACTAATTTTTTTGTCCTTTGCTTACTTCTAAAGTGGGGGAACTTCCTGTTGGGACCAGTACTTGAGGTCTGTGGTTGAGCTAAATTGCTGCTTTGCTGCTGCTTCCCTAGGGAAGGCTTTTTGTGCAGCACAGGTTATAATGGTTGACTTATAGGTACTTCCAGCTCTCCAGAGACTCAGTGCACCTGGGTCATGTAGAAACTCTGATCTGGGCCTGAGTCTTTCCATCAGATTGCACCCCAGGCAATTCTATATTACTGACCAGTGTCCTCTGTATGGTCCTACACTGATTGGGGTACAGATCAGCTGTCCTTGCTGTGCCCCAGTGTTCCCCCGGTGGGCCTGTCTCTCCCACTGCCCATGCTGCAAACACTTCCCATGGGATGGGCTGTGTCCCAGTCCCTTGTGATGACTCACTGACCTCTGAGTGGCTCCATTTTTTCAGTTGTTGTGGCTCCTTGCTCCTATGTAGGTCCATGGGAACCCTATTAATGGTCTTGCTGTCCTGGAAGCCACCAAGGCCCTCTTTCCTGCTGCCTCCAAACAACTCCATGCAAAGGGCATGGCTGCAGCTTTTACTGACTCCTGCTCCATGTGCTTAGCAGCTCCAGCCTTAAAGCAGCCACAGCATGAAATGGTCAGAGCAGTTTTTTCTTTCTCTCATCATGGCTTCTCCTACCTTCATGCACTCTGTAGGTCTCTCCTCCTCTTCCCCTGAGGTCTAGCGGCCCTAGCTTGGCTGTTGTTGCTTTTTATATAGTTGTAAATCAGTTGATTTCTGGGAGAGAGTGATGCTAGGGAGTGACGTCTATTCTACCATCTTGACTGGAACTCATTCTAGACATTTTTTAATGTTCAATTTTTCCATATTTAGTTAGTGAGAAAATTTTCAAATTATTTTCTGAGCATCTTTAACAAAACTACGGTAGCTTTGAAAGGTTTTTTACTTTTTGGTCTGAAAAGATATTCCAGGCCCTTTCCATACATTTACTGTCTTAGGACTAAAACCAGTTATTTCTGTAGAGAGCTCTGACTCTTGATGGGAAATGATGCTCAGATCCCACAATCTGGGTGCTAGGGACACCTGTTGTTACTAGGTCTGTCAATGCCTCTAGACTTTAGTGGCAGAACTAGAAAATACTTTTCTTTTATATTTAAAGAAAAAATACATCATGTATTCATAGTAATCTTATAACATATTGGAATATTGAGATTAGAGGGTTTTTTGTTTGTTTGTTTTGGTTTTTTTACACTTTATAACTGTACCTCTTCTCTCATGCACTAAAAACCTTTGTCTCCAATGACATTAACATATTACCCATGCCCTACTATACAAATTTTCAAAATAAAAATACTAAGATTATTACTAATAGTATGATAACTGAAAACCATTAATATTTATTTGCTGTTCTTTTCATACCTAAAGTGTATTTTGCTTAGGCTGTGTAGTCAAATTACAGTGTTTTAAGACCCCTTGGAATATTTCTACTCTCCATGGTTAAGTTGTCAGCTCAATACAGTTATTCCATTTGTTTCATTTTGCCTATGATTTCAGAGATTTTTTTCATTTTTATTATATTTTGCTTTATAGTTATGTAAAACATATTTATAGTTCCAACAAAGCCAAGCGAATACGTATGGTAGATTTAGAGAAGTCTAGCTTTTATCATTGTCCCTTCCACCCTATTCTTTCCTCCCAGATAGGTAACATTTTTTTTATTAATTTTAGATTTATTCTTCCACTTAAAAAATTAAGCAAATAATCACATATAATTGTATTTTCCCTTTTCTTAGATAAAAGGTAGCATACTATACATTCTGGTCTATAGTTTGCTTTTTTCCACTTCCTGTATCCTGGAGAGTGCTTCATAACTAGAGCATAGCACGGCATTGTGTAGATGTGTGTTGTCTATTCAATCAGTAGTCTACAGATGGAGATTTGGCTTGTTTCCAAGCTTTTAGAATTCCAAATTTCACTGCAACAAAGTGACTTGTGCATTTGTCTTATTGTGTTTTTGCCAATGGACTTTTGGGGTGTATTTCTAAAGGTGGGATTGTTTAAAAAAAATGCATATGTTTTTGCTAGGTATTGCCATACTCTCTTCTGTAGTGATTTATCATCTTGCATTCTCACTGGCAATGTGTGAGAGTACCTATTTCCCCACAGCCTCACCAATCACTTGTTTTCAAAATACTGGATTTTTATCATTCTCAGGGATAAGTAATGAATGGTATCTCAGTGAAGTTTTTATATGGTCTCCCTTATGATGAGTGATAGATATTGAACATCTTTTTGTATGTTTAAGGGACATCTAAATTTTTTTCAGTGTGCTCTCTGTTCATATCTGTACTCTTTTTAGAAACTCTTTATGTATTAGAAATACTCTTTGTTATATATTGCATTTTTTTCTATTTTGTCCTTAATCTTTTACTTCATTTATGGTATTTTATACATTTTTAAAAAATTACCCATATGATAATTTTTTAAGTATTACTTTTTGGGACATGTATCTTCCTCTGAGGAACTGAGATGTTTTCTCCAGAACAATGAGAATCATGTAACTAATTTGTTTGGTAGCAAAATTTTTGTCTGAATAACCAGCTATGTAAATCTTAGACATTGCACATATAACATGTCACCTTATCTCATTTTTTCCCTAATGTATATTTACTGAGTTCTAGGTTTTTATTTAGTAGTTCTATTTTTTGATTCTTCACTAGCATTTTTAATAAGCCACCCCAGATTTCATTAGATAAATGTGGGTATTAATGAAGAAAAAATTCTTCAGTCATTGGTCAGCAATTTTAAGGGGCCGGTGTGGTGTAATGGTGATGGTAGTGGGATAGGTGTCAGAAAACCTGGCTATTTCTCACTTGCCCTGCTTCTGGGCAAGTGGCTTAGTCACCATAAACATTTGAATTTCTTCATTTATAAAATAAATGCTTTAACTATATGATAGTGTTAAGAAACCCTCTCAAATGAAAACTATGTAGTCCTTAACTGTTTTAATATATAAAGTGATCTGGTTTGTTGAATGACTTAGGGGTTGACAGAAGTCCCAGACTTTTTAAGAGTTAGTATTCAGAAATTAATCTCCTCGAAGTGAAAAAAATGAATCTACAATCCCATTACCCCTCAGACATTCAGCACTGTAGTTTAAGTCATATCACTATATGACGGCTTGTAAACACAGAACTCAACACATGGGTGATTCAGTTTATTTATCAATTATTACTTCTAGATTTATAATTTCACAAAACTATAAAACTGAAAGATTAGTTTAAATTATGAGGGTGTCCAAAACTGTTTATAGTTATTTAAATGAAGCTTGGCTTCTTACAGCAAGAACTATGATCATTCTATATGAACTATAACTTGTACACAAATGTAAAGCTATTTTTCCTTCTTATTTTAGAGTGTGGAGGTATACTGACTGGTACTTATGGTTCTATTAAGTCTCCGGGGTATCCTGGAAACTACCCCCCAGGAAGAGATTGTGTCTGGAATGTGGTAACCAGTCCTGGCCTCCTGATAACATTTACTTTTGGGACCTTGAGCCTGGAGCACCATGATAATTGCAGCAATGATTATCTTGAGGTAAACAATTATATTTAGATAGAATATATCATGATATGGGCAGGACTCAGGGCATTATGGTTTCTTTGGTGGTGCTCATGGATAACCCCAGTTTATTGGTGATAGTTAGATGTATATCTTAATAGGCAGCCAAGTCTAACTCTTGCTAAGTTCTTACTCTTAATTGTGCCAGCTTGTTGCTTCTTTTTCTGGATTACATTTCAATCTGGGAAACAGATTGCCTAGCCCTCCCGTGACTTTTCTTGGAAGTCCAGGCCCCTGACATGGGAATAGCAGAATTATGGAAATACATCGTAAGTAATGGCATCTCCTTCAAAGCAGATTCAAATATTCAGTTGTCTGTGATAAACTGGTAAGGTGTTTCACAACTTGACTATATTGTTCCACAAAGAAAAATGTTAATAAATATTGTGTTGAAAATGGATTGATAAGTGGTGAGTCTTACTGGAAAATATTGGTAATTATCATTGGGAGGAAAGGAGCCAACGTGAGGCCCCCTGCCTACCATTAGTAAAAGATTAAAATATGGAGGAGGAGAGAAGGCTGTTTTCCATATTCGTCGGTTCTGCATTTGTCAACTCAACCAACTGATGATCAAAAATAGTTTTTTAAAAAATTGTAACTCTACCAAACACAGACTTTTTTCCTTGTCATTATCCCTAAATGATACAGTATAACAACTATTTATGTAGCATTTACATTGTATTAGGTATTATAAGTAATCTGAAGATGATTTAAAGTATACGGGAGGATACGTATAAGTTATATGCAAATACTGCATCATTTTATGTTAGCAACTTGAGCATCCACAGATTCTAGTATTCACGGGAGGTCTTAGAAACAATCCCCCATGGATACTGAGGAATGACTGTATATTCAAATGCCGTGTGCATATAGGTACATCAAAAATGTTGCTCTCCATTTGTAGGCTGAAAAGATCATTGAGAAGATTGAGTTCTTAGGTTATTTCTGTATTTTTTTATCACCATAAATCTCAGGCTCCCTTGTGGTACTGATAAAAAGACAATATGCTCTTTGAAGTCCATTAGAGAAGAATGAAGTGCTATGGAATTATTCATAAAGGATAGAAGGATGTGTTGTCAAGTGGGGTCTCCACAAGTGAAAGTCATTAGTAATTTAGCAGTTGTACTAATGGATTTGAAACCTTTGGGAATGACTAGAAGATATGCCTCTCCCTGGAAAACTTCAGCAAAATAATATTTGAAATGTTGACAGTAAAGTGAGTTATCTTGAAATTAATTTTTGATCAGTTCTATCAAATTAAAATTAGAGGCATTTTTTCATTCCTACATATTAATTCCTGGATACCATGTAATAGAAAGTATCAATCATTCTGACAGTATTGAAACATCTTATAATTTCTCATCAAGCTACAATATTTCAAGAAACCAGTTAAATATAGGAATAAAGTAATGCCTTGTAACTTTGCTGCTGCCAATAGAAAAAGTAATTTGAATGAACAACACTGACCACACTAAAATATTCTTTGGTGACTCCTTGGTGTTCTATGTAGCACAGAATTTGCAATTACTACACGATTACCTAATAGATTAAAAACTAGAAATTGAAAAAGCATTTCTAAGGTCACATTGTCATTATTGTGGTACTTAATTACTATCAGCGTTGCACTCTTTACATTCATTAAGCCATCTTTATGTTGCATCTAATATGATTGTACTTTTTTCCACCTCTGATCCTCCCAAATACCTAGACCAAGTTGCGAATCTACTGACATCACTGGCATTTCATCTTCTATTTTATTCGCATATTTTTTTTTCTCCTAGATCACTTGGAATTTATGATTTCAAAACAAACATTTTGGGGGGAAAATCTAGAAAAGGAAACACTGAGATTAGTAACGTCATGAGAAAATTTCAAAGTATACATCCAGCTTCAGAACTGAAATTCAGACAGAAGATAAGGCGTTAGGGAGGATAGGAGAAGGAGACAGCCTTTAACTGAATCCCAACCGTGTGTTAGATATGTATGTGATAGGGGAACTTCATAGAGCCGTCACTTTTAAATGACAGCTTTTCTGAAGTTATTGCACAAAATGACCCAGTGTGTTAAAACCTGACCACCCCGAGCTTAATGATTCACTCCTTTGTTCTAGATTCGAGATGGTCCTTTGCAGCAGGACCCCGTTCTTGGAAAATTCTGCACCACTCTCTCTGTCCCGCCACTCCAGACTTCAGGTCCCTTTGCCAGAATTCATTTCCATTCTGACACCCAGATTAGTGACCAAGGCTTCCATATCACCTACTTAACATCACCTTGTAAGTAACCTGCCAGTCGGTAGCTTAATACGAATTTGAAGAACAATGCTATGCTTATAGCTGTTTTATATTTTAAAGTGATACTGGAGATGGCTGATATTCCTAGACTAATAACGTGTCCTTATAATATCTCTTTCAAAGCTCCAGTCTTTTTCTTTATTTTCCCAAGGCTTTCTTATTAGTACTACAATATTTCTTGATCCCTAAATGATGGGATCCCCCTCAAGATAGAGATGTATACAGCAAGCACCTAAAATTAAATAATTCAGAGCACCAGGTCCCTAGGGTTGTCTGATGTTTTGTTGTGGGAAAGATTGTTCGTATCAGTAATGCAGCCTATCTGGAGACCTGTCTGCTTTTACCCTTAGATCAAGTCCAGCTGCTGAGGAGCTGGCTTCCAGGGTCATAGCATCCTGGCCCCTAGAGTTTCACTTCCAGTGAAATACTGTTAGCTACTATGCCTTCAACTTGTGTTGATTCCTTAAAACAAATAAGCAAACAACAAAACAAATAAAATTCTTTATGATTTTAATTTTGGGAAAGTGGGTGATTTTGTTGATGACATCCATTGTTCTGCCCTTAATGAGAATTTATGGGAAAAATACCTTTTAAGTTTCAGTATCAGGAAATGTAACAATGAACATCTTCACTGGTCCTCTTTCTCCAATTCCTTTGTCTTCAGGCTGGTCCTCTTTCTCCAATTCCTTTGTCTATAGCCAGCATGCTGTAATTTATGTAGCCCGTACAACTATTTCTGTGCATATCAACTTTTCCCCGGCCACATCTTGCTATTCTGTATTCATGTTTCCTTTAATGTGCTTCATTTATGTAGTTATATATTTTATTTTGACACATTTTATAAACTGCCTCAAATCACTTTGGAATGAAGCAGCACATTAATGTATTTTAAAAAGCGGTTTTTAGAAGAATGGTGGATGGGAAATTAGATCACATATCTCTATGTCTATTTCTTTTGGCACTACAGAAACATCTTGCAAACACATGTCAAACTGAAAATCTTATCATTAGATGCATAAGCCTGTTCAGGGTGAATAAAGTCAGTTTATGATTGTGTGTGTATGTCAGTTTTTGAAAACTGGATCCAATGTCTGGGTCATCTGCATGACCTTTCCTTCTCGTCCCTGTTCTCCTCAGCGGATCTGCATTGTGGAGGGAACCACACAGACCCAGAGGGTGAGCTCCTCCTTTCTGGCTTGCCTGGGCCTCTCACGGGCAACAGGCAGTGCATCTACATTATAGACCAGCCTCAGGGAGAACAAATACAAGTCAACTTCACCCACGTGGAGCTGGAAGGCCAGAATGGCTGCTCTCAGAGTTACATTGAGGTAACTTTTACTGCTCAGTTTCCCTTAGATTGTGTTTATCAACATTCATCACCATGAATGATCATGAACATGATCAATGTTCATCAACATTTTTATATTCTGTAGAGTGGTGGTCTTCAAATGTTTGCTGGGCCAGTGGTATCCACATCACCTGAGATCTTGTTAGAAAGGCAGTTTTATATCCTATTCCAGACCTACTGACTCAGAGCCTCTGGGGGTGGGCTCAGCAATTGTTTCAACAGGTCCCCTAGGTGATGCTGATGCAGGCTAGAGTTTGAGAACAACTATTCTAGAGAGTAGGAAAGGATCTGCCTAAAACCAACCTACAGATGGTAAAACAGGAGATTGGTAAGGGGAATGGCAAAGGACAAAAGAAAAGCTAAGCTTAGAAACTTATAATGATGCTAAATTACAAGCTATTAGACTGAGCCCTAATAACTAAGTGTATGCAAACAAGTAAGTCTAATAGGATTTATTAACAGATTTCAGAGATTATCTCGGATGATTTTATATGTAAGGAATTTCAACCCAGAGAAGTTAAGGGATTTGCTCTGGTGACCCAGCTAGTCAGTGGCAGAGAATTAAGATAAAGCACTGAAACTCTTGTTTTCAAAGTTAAGTTTTTTCCTTCATTAGTCCTGCTTGCTCTCCTTCAGAAAATGTTTGACTTTAGTGTGTGTAATGGTTGTCATTAGGGGAATATCTGAAACAAAAACAGGCAGTTTTTGTTTGCTGGGCCTGGTATTTCTTTTGGTAATTATTGGTTAAGCCACAAATTAAAGTGTTGAGCAAGAGAAATAAAACCTTTTATGTTGGGCACAATCATTTTATGTAAACTCAGAGAGACATTTACAGTTCTGTTTGCTCATGAAAGTTAAACCAATTTAGTTTTCCAGGAAAAACCTGTGTAACCTCTTGCCGTATTTTTTCTACATTTAGACAGGGGAAACAGAACTTTTGCATAAAATCTGGAATTACTTGAAGAAGTGCATTGACCATAGCACCACGGAAATATATATTTTTTAAATTCAAAAATATTGTATACCGATTGTGAGATGAATGGGTATAATTCATTCAATTTAGGTTTTCTAAAGTTTCTTATAAAGTACATTAGTATTTTATACTAGGGAGCAATATTTTAAGTATTTTTGTGTAAATAAAAATTAAACTCCCAACTTCTGTTTTTTACTTTGAGAATGGTAAAAATAGCTCACAATTAGAAAGTGCATACTATGTATCAGGCACTATTCTAACACCTTAAAATAATATAATAAATGGATAGCAATTACTGTCTGCTTACTGCATGCTGGATATGGTAAGGGCTTTATATGAGTTAACTAATTGAATCCTCACAGCAGCCATTATTATTTCTATTCTAATCTGAGGAAACTGAGGCCCAGAGAAGTTAAGTTACTTGCCCATGGCTACATGTCTAGCAAGCAGTGGAACTGGGATTTGAATTTAAGAGTTCCAGTTGTAGTGATCCCTGATAAGAGCAAAAATGCAGTAGTCTAGCTTTGACTGTAAGAGGTTTTTCATCTTCCCTAGGAGGAAAATCTCATGAATTTCCCAATTTCATACCTGGTTCTTAAGTCACAAGACTAAAACATGAAGACAAGTACAATGATTTTCTCAGCTAGGCAAGAATGTAACTTTAATTTTTAGGGAAATCTGGATATCTTTCTATTAGATTCTTTATGGTGGTTCTAATGTCTCCATGGAGCTGTGAAAGCATCTGGAATGATATATATGCTCTTTGGCTTTGCAGAAGACTCTCCTTGAATTTCATGAACTCCTTTAAATTGTTCGGAAAAGTTATCAGAAAAAAAATCATAAAACTGGCATTGAAAAATTTAATTTTGTAAACCAGAATGGCAGAATATTTTGTAGCCAGAATGGGATTGGAGTTAAATCATCTAAATTCTTATTTTAGTTCTGTCATTAGATGACTTTAGACAATTCTTCATCTGGATGCTTCAGTTCCTACTTCAATTCCAACCTTTGAGAGGATCAAATCAAGGACACAAATGATAAAAGAAGCTTGAAGAATTAAAAACATTATATAAATGCAAGGTTTTTCTAGACCAAATTTTCAGTTCCTGTCTTGAACTTATCAGTTCAGAGACAGCTGATAAGGCTCTTTCATAGTTGGCCATTGAGGTATCTACATTCTGATGGGCACAAATATCCACAGGTCTTGATCGAATTACTGTCAAGGGTGGTTGATGGAAAAAAAAATTTAAAAAACTATTATTCAGAAGGGCAGGTCGTGTATAATGATTTAAACAGTTGAGTAGACTTTTCTATTATATTCTTGACCAACCTAAAGGAATACAGCCAATAAATTTGTGGAATTTTGGTATCAGCAAGGGCTTCAGAGGTTATCTAATCTAAATAGTTAATTTTGAAAATGAGGAAATTGAGGTTCACAAAGTACAAACTCTAGTTATTATCAAAATATGACTTAGATGTACCTAATGGGATTTGGATAGACATGTATTAACTTAGATCAAAGCTCTTGTCATTAAATCATTTCTAACCATTGGCAAAATTGGTGAACTAAACCCATTTTTTTTTTGAAGTGCCTCCACTTCTTTTAATGTTCTTCCAACAGTGGTCATGCAATACAGGAACTAATTTCTTTTTCTTCTTTTTTTTCTTTTTTTTACAAAGTGTAAAACTTTTAATAACATCTTGAGTTATAGAAGACAGAATTTTGCATAATTACACATGACCACAGGATCCTTTACAATCTTTCATGCTTAAATTCTGACCCTCTTCACTTTCTCTGTCCTGTTTCCCTCCGCTCCCCTGCCACAACCAGAAACTCTCTCACCATACTAATTACTCCAAATGGTATGTTTCTTTCTAGAAGGGCACTTACAAAGTGGGTATCAGTTAAATATACTAATATGTGTTTAGCACATCGATATTTTAATTACTTTAATATTTTTACAAGCAGTGGTTTATGTACAAACGTGTTTATATAAAAATAGCTGTCTCCTCATAGGCATAAAAAATAAAGACTTTTTTTCTTAAATTTTAAAAAAAATTTTATTTTATTTTGTCAATATACAATGTGGTTGATTATTGTGGTCAATTACCGAAACCTCCCTCCATCCTCCCTCTCTCCCCTCCCTCCCAACAATGTCCTTTCTGTTCACTTGTCGTATCAACTTCAAGGAATTGTAATTGTTATGTCTTCTTCCCTCCCCCACCCCCGGTTGTTTCAGTATTATTCTTTCAAGGTCCATCCATGTTGTTGCAAATGGCAGTATTTCATTTGTTTTTATAGCTGAGTAGTATTCCATTGTGTAGATATACCACATTTTCTGTATCCACTCATCCGATGATGGACATTTGGGTTGATTCCAGCTCTTGGCTATTGTGAAGAGTGCTGCGATGAACATTGGGGTACAGGTATACCTTCGACTTGATGATTACCGTTCCTTTGGATATATTCCCAGCAGTGGGATAGCTGGGTCGTATGGTAGATCTATCTTCAGCTGTTTGAGGAGCCTCCAAACCATTTTCCATAGGGGTTGTACCATTTTGCATTCCCACCAACAATGTATGAGAGTTCCTTTTTCTCCGCAACCATGCCAGCATTTATCTTTCAGCGTCTTTTGGATTTTTGCCATCCTAACTGGGGTGAGATGGTATCTCAGTGTGGTTTTGATTTGCATTTCCCGGATGCTGAGTGATGTTGAGCATTTTTTCATATGACTGTTGGCCATTTGTATATCTTCTTTAGAGAAATGCCTGCTTAGCTCTTTTGCCCATTTTTTGATTGGGTTGCTTGTTTTTTTCTTGTAAAGTTGTTTGAGTTCCTTATATATTCTGGATATTAATCCTTTGTCAGATGTATATTTTGCAAATATTTTCTCCCACCCTGTTGGTGGTCTTTTAACTATGTTAATTGTTTCTTTTGCTGTGCAGAAGCTTTTTAGTTTGATATAGTCCCATTTGTTTATTTTTCCTTTGGTTGCCCATGCTTTTAGGGTCATATTCATGAAGTCTGTGTCCAGTCCTACTTCATGAAGTGTTTCTCCTATGTTTTCTTTAAGTAGTTTTATTGTTTCAGGGTGTATATTTAATTCTTTAATCCATTCTGAGTAGATTTTAGTATATGGTGAGAGGTATGGGTCTAGTTTCATTCTCCTGCATATTGTTATCCAGTTATCCCTGCACCATTTGCTGAAGAGGCAGTCTCTTCCCCAGTGTTTAGGCTTGGTGCCTTTGTCAAAGAACAGATGGCTGTAGGTGTGTGGGTTGATTTCTGGATTCTCTATCCTATTCCATTGATCAGTGTGTTTGTTTTTATGCCAGTACCATGCTGTTTTGGTTATTATAGCTTTGTAGTATAGTTTAAAGTCAGGTAGTCTTATGCCTCCAGCTTTATTTTTTTTGCTTAGCATTGCTTTGGCTATTCATGGTCTTTTGTTATTTCATATAAATGTCTGGCTAGTTTTTTCCATTTCTGAGAAAAATGTCATTGGAATTTTGATGGGGATTGCATTGAACTTATATATCACTTCGGGTAGTATGGACATTTTCACAATGTTGATTCTTCCAATCTAAGAGCATGGGATATCTTTCCATCTTCTTGTGTCCTCTTTAATTTCTCTCAGCAGTGGTTTGTAGTTATAGGAACTAATTTCAAATGGTATTGTTATGACTCAGTATATTGTTCTCCAAAATCATGGTTTCATTTTTAAAAGCTATACCTAAAAAGTGAAATGTTTAAGGAACAACAAAAAAATGACAGCATTTCAGATACTTTAGTGGTTTAGAGGGGAGATGACTTTTTGTATTTATGAGAGAAAGCAGACCACACAAAGTTTTAGAAAGAATGAAGAGCAGAGGGGGGATTTTAGAGAGATGTAGGAGAATAATAAAGAATTTTCTTTTGAGTGTGACTAGATGCATTCCTAAGAATCTCAGATCTCATTAGTTGGTTTAAGATGCTTTGTTGCCGTGAGAATATATCCTTTAAATGA